CCTGAAATGGAGCCAGAGATGATGACGTGGAGCGATGGGGCAGCTGGAGACTTTAGATCCAGAGAGGGAGAGTGACTGTGTGCTGAAGACCTGGGGAGTACGGGGAAGGATTGCATGGAGGGGATTGTAACCATGGCATGAGATAGAATGAATGTAAGAATGATGTTCTCCCATGTAAACTATCACATAATTCACAATAAAACATTAAAAAAAAAAAAAAGTTAATGGAAAAATGGAATTGAAAGGCTATGACATTTTCCCATGAACATTCTGAAGTCCCATATTATGTTACAGTAGAATGGATAACCCCGGGTATGGCAGAGGAAACTGTGCCTCATAAGTCCCCAGGAGTCTCGTTGTGGACTTGAACCTTCAACTTTTCAGTTGGCAGCCAAGTTCATTAGCCAAGGACTCTCGATAATAAGAATAGTGTTTATTATTTTTTCTCAAACTTCTCTAATTTTCAACTTCTTCACACCGTATCATAAAAATAGGATGCTATCAGTGCCTGGAGTCCTGGTGTGGTGCTGTGGGTTAATGCACTGGACTGCAAAGTCATTTGAACTGCAAGGTCGATGGTTCAAGCTCACCAGCTGCTCCTCGGAAACCCTATGCAGGTTCACTATGGGTTGGAACTGATCATGACGGCAATTAACAACAACAACTACATCAGTGTTTAGAATAAATTCATGTTTTACTCATGTCCACTGTGGATATTTTAAGAGACTAACTCTGAAGTTCCTATTAGCTCTACAACCCATGAATCTAATAGTTTAGGTAGTTAGATCTGTGACTCTGGTTCTGGAAATGGACCAGATGAAAGCATTAATTTGAGATGTCAGTGTTTGGATAAAAAGTGATGTAATAGATCATCAATAAGCTTCAGACTTTCCCCCCAGATGTGTGAAGTGAGGCAAGGGGAAATGAGACATAAATCTCAGGGCAGGGCATTTCCCCATGTCTTTTCCCAGCATGTTCCTGTTATATCTAAAACCCACTCTCTACCCCACCCAACTTTCCTTTTCCTTATTTTCTCTTCCATTCTTTATATACACACTCACCCCTGCTTCCACTCTCCTCTCCTTGGTACAAAAGAGGAGAGTCAGACCGATGCCTTCCAGGTCCTCTCTGGTGGCAGTTGATATTGGTAACATTGGACAATAGGAATAACTTCACAAATTCCCAAAGCAATTTGTAAGCCAAAACTCTAGGTGACTTAATCTTGGATACCCTATTTTTCTTTCTAAAAGCAACTTGTTTGAGACTATAGAAATAATAAGTAATGGTACGGCTCTGTAGGATAAGCACTGGACGGGTAATTATAACGTCAGTGGTTCAAACCCACCAGCTGCTGTCAGAAAACCTATCCAGGGTCACTATGAGTCAGAAGCAACTTGACGGCACACAACACAAACAACAAAACCACTTACTTTAAGGAATAAATATTATTTCTCTCAATAAGGGCAAAAACGAAACAAATGAACGTGCAATCCAAAGACAGGCTGATTTTTAAAGCAAAGGAAACCAAAGATGGAGAAGATTCATCTTAAAACCCTAAGAATCTGTCAATTTCTCATGAAGATTCAACTGATTTCAGTGGTAGTCCCCCAGTCGTGTGGCTGTTACCCTCCCACAGCTTAATCATTTCTGGAGGAATTTTGCATCAATTCATTGACTAGTTCACAGTGTTTCTTTAGAGAATAAACTGATGGGAGCTATTTTTCTCTAATGGGGAGATTTTAAGTCTCCACTTGTGCTTTATAATCGCACCAGTGAAATGCTCTCAGGAAACAGCTACCTTCAGCATTCCACTTCTCAGCCCTTTCTCTCTGGTGTGCATGCACACAAGCACATTTTGCCCACTGTGACACCAGGGCCCTTGGTTCTCAGGGGCATGGGCCTGAGGTACTCTCCCATGGAAGTTGATGTCGTATGCCCTTGTGACACTGGGGAGCTGTTGGCACTGAAAGCCTGGCTCACGAGGCTGGAGGCTGACCTGCACAGGCTCGGGGGGAAGCTGGACCACGTGCTGCATACGCTCGCTGTGGTGATGCCTGGACTCCTCCTCATAGATCACATCCCTCTCGTGCTGGGGAAGGTTCAGGAAGCGACGGATGGTGCAGAGGTTCTCCCAGAGGGTGCGGTTTTCTGGGCTTGGGTTCTCCTTCCAGCGGAGTAATTCACAAAGCCAGCCCTAGAGAGAGCGAAAGCCATTTAAGTTAACCTATAGAGTGCAGAGATGCTGTAGAGGCCTTGACTGTAGTCTGACATTCCAGTTTACCATATTATTCTGTCAAGCTTGGTCTACTAAACTATGAAGGCAGTGAAACAGAATGACAGCCCTGAAAACCAACCAGTGCCCACATGAATAGTTATACCAGTGCCCAAGAATGTTTACTTACACTAATTATTTTATCACCCATCCTGTAGAATATATTCTTAGTTAACTTATAGTTTCTTTGTAGAAGTTAGTAAAACAAGACTACAGTTATACAATGCTTAGAAAAACAAATTAATGTTGGTTAGCCACAATTTTTTTAAAATTACCCAATTGGATAACATTCTATTCCACGACAAGAGTAAAAAAAGGAACAAATACATGTATTATGAGATGGCACCTAAAGAAAAGGCAAAAAAATGTTAAAGTGTAAGCAGCACTCAGTGCTTTAAGGAGGAGACATGTTTACACTGATCAATAACTCAAAAAAGAAAAAAAACTTTAGATAGAATGGAAAAAATATATATGTTTACTCAATCTCTCAATGCCATGGACCTAAGCCATTTTATCTGTCCACCTTCTACAACAGCCACACCTGCAGAAAGGCAGGCAGTTAGTCTGGTCACACCTGCAAATGTCTGCCTCCGGACTCTGGTATCCGGATGTTCTCTCTCTCACAACTGAACGAGGAAGAAAATGCAATGCAAATAATGATGGATTATATGAAAATCATACAGAGGACGCTGTCAGTATTGCTCACTGGCTCATGTCAAAATATTTTACCCAGTTGCTTTCTAACCCATCATTTCCAAGCTATATCAGTAATTTCAAAAACAAGAACTGTCCCATATCACGCCTTTTGCAAAAGAGTAAGAATTTTTCTTAAAAAGGTATGTAAGTAAACACAAATGACTTACAATCAAAATAAAAATTCCCAACCTCGACAAACTCTGTATCATAAGGCATAAGCCAATGAAAGTTTCCTGACACGCATTATAAAAACCCCATATAATATCATAAGCCGTTGTTTGTCTAACTCTCCACTGTGTCTTCTGTCTTTACCCAAAAAAAGGCAAGATTTGATTATCTCCGCTGCATCAGCCAAGACAGCAACACCAGCTGTTCTCATTGTGCAGCCTCTTCCTCGCGGCCTCCATGTTAATAACCTGATCATTCCATTTTCTCCTTCAACTGCCGGCTGCAGCACCGAGAAGAGACAAAAACCCAGGCCCATCTGCAGCAGCTGGAGGCACTGAACTGTGAAGCCACTGGGGATTTATAAACTAATCTGTAACACAACACTGCCTTGTTTTTACAAGTGAGAGGCCACATTTGCGCAGACCTGATCTTTTCTTGCAATAAACTGGGAGCTGGGGAGAGTTAGAAGGTTAAGAAGAATGAAAACAAGATATCTAATCATTTTCTTGGGAATGTTTTTCCAAGTATTTTCATAGATTTTTTTTTGCAACTCAATTGAGAGGCAGTAATGGTTTTCCAGGCACTATGTATAAGAAAAATGAAGACAATTAATTTTTTTATTTCTACCAGCAAATAAATGATATTAAATAGATATATTCCCATCCATAAGTGTTTCCTCAGGGGTTTCTTTGTACAATGGCAAGAATTCTTGAAATGAAAAAATAAACCATCTGTAGAAAAAATAAGCTCCTATTTCTCTGTCTTTTCATAGATCTGAACAAGTCTCCAAATGAACTCTTTCAAATGTTTCAAGCAGGTATGTTTAACATCTCCCAGGGGAAGCGATAGCATGGAGACCAATCATTTAACAGAAAATAAAAACAAAAACCCACATCTGTTAAAAGATGAAGTTCTGAGATACCCAGACCTTAAGGAAGATAGCACCTGCTGTTCCGCTTGAGGAGTGAATTGCATTGTGGGAAGCCACAGCTTGAAAGGAGACAGGTGACAGCTGAGTGGTATCTCCACTTATGACACTCGGAATGTCTCACACAACATTCATTGCTGCATTTGATTTATATGCGCTGTTGTAATCTGCACTCATTACAATCACTTAGAACAACACTCCAGGCCTTGTTATGGACTGTGTGCTGCCTGCCATCAGTCTTTAAGAAGTGTAGTGCTCAATTTGCCCACTGACATGCAAGGTCCTGACCTTGAAGCTATTAGGGAGCGGATTAGACACAAGTGTGACCATGTGTGCAGACATAAGCAAACCAAATTAATTTCTGGCACAGGGAGGTATCCAACAAGACCCTGTTCTTACGACACCAGAGAACTTCCCCAAATCCCCGATGGAGCTAAGCTAATAGCATGTTTAGGAGAACCCGGTTTTGAAGATGAAGCACATTCATGGTATTTAGAGGGTTATTAATCTAGTTTCCCCACAAAGTGTTTGCTTGGCTGATCAGATTAAGGGATGGAGCCTTCAACAGTGCACCCCCACCACAGCAGGCCCCAAGAAATCTGTGATACTTCACAGCCTTGGACATATTGCACCATGTGTACCCAGCTGCCTCAATAATTAGCTTATGAATGTATCAGCTGGTTCTGTGATTTTTATAAATAATAACTAACCTACAGAGCAGAAAGATTGTCAAGAGCCTTCTAGTAGCACAAAATTGCAAAGAACTCCTAACTAACTTGCTCTTCTGCTGAAATGCGGATAGTCGCAGATAGTAAAGCTCCTGTTGATGCCATTTAGAGATATATGTAGTTGTTTTGTAGCTGAAATGACAATATCTTTTTGTCAGTTTTTTTCGTGGCAGCCATGATTTTCATTTTCCTCACTGTGACTCACTTGTTCTTTCCATGTATTTACATGCCTATCTTCAGGAAATCTATTGTTCCATCTCTCTTCCCTTCCCACCTCACTCTCTTTTTTTTTTTATTCTGCCAGCCCATTTGGGATGTTTATCTCTGTCTTCTCAATAGTGTCTCTTAGCTTATTCCGTGGCTAAGGATGTTCAAGAAACTGTCTTGTTGTTGCAAGAACACATATATGTAATTTTGAGAGCACCTCATCACAGAAGAGATAAAGAGTCCCCACACTGGGGTGTTTTATTTTATTTTTTTTCATTTATATAATTTTTGCATGCCATCCAAGAAAGTTTTGCAGTATCAGGCAAAAAAAAAAAAAAAAAAGTGTAAATGTCAAATAAAACAGTGACAGATGACAGTATTCTCTATTGAATAGCACTGTTTCTGTCATGCATGTTCAATGGGAACTCATGAATTATTAATAAACAAATCTCCTTTTTCTGTTAAAAATCTCAAGTAGGTTTTTTTGTTGTTGTTCCCTGTGTGTTATGTGGAGCATTCCAGGAGAATTCTATTCATTTCAGAAATGCTGATACAGAAGTTCATCTGATTTCCAACCGTGACCAGCTCTGAGTGGGCAACATGAACTATGGAGGATACACTTCTCTCTGAGTTCTGACCCAAGGGTGCCTGAATATCCACATAGTAAATGTATTTATTTTTTGTTATTTTAATACAGTAAAAGCTGAGTCTATATGAATTATAAGTGTTTGAATATGGCTAGTAGTCACAGAGAATATTAAACTTAGAGCCTCAAGACCTGCCTGCTAACTTTCTGCTCTGTCATTCACAAATTGTGTGACCTTACATTAGTGCTTACTGTCTTGGAACCTCCAACAAGTCAAGCCACACCTACTCCCATAGGACCCTATGGACAGAGTAGAACGGTTCCTTAGGGTTGCTAAGTCAGCCTCATCTTTCTCCTGCAGAGCAGCTAGTTGATTTGAACCAATGACCTTGCAGTCAGCATTACAAGTGTAACACACTACTCCACCAGGGTGTCTTCTTCTTATAGGGAGTTTCCAGGCCCTTAATATGAAATGTTTGGGAAGCAGTATGACTGGATTGCTCCTTGTGAGTGCTGCTGGCAAGATTTCATCTCTCATATTTTGGACATGTTGTCAGGAAGGCCCAGTGCCTAGAGAAGGATATAATGCTTAGTAAAACAGTGGGTTAAGATAAAAGGGGAAGACCTCCAACAAGATGGATTAACATACTGGCAACAACAATGGGCTCAAACATTAACAACAATTGTGAGAATAGTACAGGACCAGTAAGTGTTTCATTCTGTTGTTCAGGGGTTGCTATGAGTCAAAACTGAATCATAAGAAACTAGCAACAAAATATAAAATTAGAGGTTTACAAAAGATGGTCTCTAAATTCCTTCCCAGCTCCACAATCTATGATCTGTTACCTTGTTATTTGTTAGAAATAGAGATTGATTACTAGCGATCAGGTTAAAAATACAAAGAAAAATCGCCATGATCAAGATGAACACCACCAATAATGACTTATCAACATCATGAACACTGTGACAAATACTTCAAAGGACACATCTTATCTGTTGTATAGAGTCTTTCAAAAAATGTGTAATCTCCCTTGAATCATGAGAAAACATTAGACAAACTGAAATTGAAGGACGTTTGACAAACTGATTGATGCTCTTCAAAAGTGTCAAAGTTATAAATGATAAGAACAGAAGCCAATGGACAAATAACAACTAAATGCAATGTAGGGTCCTAGGTAGGATTCTAGCAGCAAAAAGGACATTAGTGTGGAAACTGGTGAAATCAAAGTAAATTCTTTAGCTAACAGACTTGAAACAATGTCAATATCTAGTTTTTATTATATTATTATATTGCATTATAGTGATACATGTTAACATCAGGTGAGGAATGTATGTAAGCTCTCTGTACAACTCCTAAACCATTTCTGTGCATCTAAAGTTTGTTCAATATAAAAAATTAAAAAAAAAAAAAGACAACCTGGATCTTTCATAGGAAAACATACATGGAGTATAAGTATAACAAAGTTAGGGAATTTATGATTAAAACTTGCTTTTACTTTCTAAATCTGAACCTAGAGAAGGAATACAAGTTTAGTGACACCTTCCTAACAATCAATGGTTAAAGAGTTTTCAAGCATTTGGTGCATATGCAAATAAAAGTTATTAACAT